CTGATCACCTTGGCCTCTGAAGACTTGATCTACTACAGCCTACGACCTACGACCTACGACCACGACCCCAGTGTACTGTTTAAACGTCAATCCCCAACTTCTGTTAGCAGACCCTACTGTCGGATAGCTGACCGTAACATATATGTATACTTCGATCTAACGATATACAAAGACGATAGATGAAAACGATAGACGAAGATAATAGATAAAGACGATAGATAACGACGATAGACAACGATGATAGATAATAGTAATAGACAATAACGATAGTAACGATAATAGCGACAATAACAGTAATAATGATAGTAATAATAATAGTAAGGATAAGAAATTTAAATGCTTTAAAATAAGGGGTAATACACGTTAAACCCTGCCCGAATAGCTAACTGACACTGCCCGGTTAGCAAAACTCCATAGGAATTGTCTTTTTCATCTTCTTATGAAAGTCATATCTTGGTCTCAGATATTTGCGTCGCGAAACATAGTCACAAGAGTTACACAAGCAACGAGTTTCTGCATGCTAAACGGGCTTCAGAAGGGAACTGTGTCAACCGGCAAAACCAAGCCAATCAACCCAATAGCCGCAAAGCAAGCGCACGTAACCCATATTGGAGCCGAAGTAGTGACATCAGAGTACGTGGCAATGAAAGGAGCAGTGAGTGACGCAAAACGCCCAACGGCCATAAGCAATCCATTGCCCAGGCCACGGTTCTCTACGTTGAGAGCTTGCGGGGTGTACCTTAGGTATATAATTCAGTATACCATGCTACATACAGGGAAATTGAACTTACGCGTAAATGATAGCGTACATGGCATTCAGCCAGAAGTTTACCATGGAGGAGAACGCTAGGTTCTCAGCAGGGTTCTTTATCGAGGTGAAGGCACCTGCGAATGCAGCGCATGCAGCACCGGTAAACACTAGTGATTTGCGACTTCGGAGCCACTTATTTGATACCATCCAAGTGCTCAGAATAGGGCCGAATATGCCAACGACTGACGAGATTGTCCAATCTCGGTATGTGGTGTAGGTACTTGAGTCGCCAAGGTCTGCGCCGTGTGCGCGCAGATAGTAGGGCAAGAAGATTGTAAAAAGAGGGTACCTGAAGTTGAGAAATTAGTCATTCGACTTTTTCAACGCTGTATGAGATGATAGCGAAGACTTACGCAATACCAACCAACGTCCACAGCATCGTCAGACAGATCATCAATCTGATTTGTGTCTTTCCCTTGAATAACCTGCTCGCTCGGTGAATGTTTTCGCCAAATGACATCGTCTTCACTTCTTCTGTAGACCCAATTCTGATGAACTGATCGGCAGAAATCGTATAGCTCGACCTGTTCATCGCGCTAATACGATTGATGACATCCACGCCCTCGTCGATGCGGCCGCAAGTCACTAGCCACCTAGGAGACTCGTGTGTCCGAAGTACTAGAGCCCGAATAATTGACATTACAAGGCATAACCCACCCAGGAGGATGTACAGATACCGCCAACCCATGTTTGCGGACTTGGGACAGGTCTCTGGTGTTGCATCCTGTGGGCAGCTGAAGGGGACAATAAGGGCCCATCCTAGACTAGGATTCAGCTTTTGTGCCAATTTGACCCTATGTAGGTAGGGATGATCAGCGAGTCTTACCGAAGATGCCGGTGATAGTATTCCCTAGTCCCCAAACACACGCAAGTCCAGCAAGCATAAAAGACCACCGTTGAGGGATGTTCTCAGCAAGAATTGTAAGATCAATCGCGACTGTGGGGAGCAACAGTGTTGTCAGCATCAGTCATTTCCTACTCCCCAGTGAGAGACTTACGGTTTCCGCCTCCGAAGAAGCCACAAACAGCAACCCATACGTTAATAGCCGCCCAGTTAGGAGATGAAGCAGCAAGCATAGTAGCAATAGAGATACCGAATATCGACAGCTGCCACACTATCCTCCTCCCAACATTATCCGCAAGCAAGCCCATCAAAACCGCGCCGATGAGCAAGCCAGCGTAGTTGGACGCCGGGAGCAAAGTGGAGTGTTTTGGCGCGAACTCGGGAATGAGCTGGGGTCCGACGAGGGAGATTGACACGAGGAGCATCTGCATTTACGTCCGTGTTAGCGTCTGCATTTGACGAATGCCTGGGTACCGACCTGATCCGCGAGGAAGCCAAATCCACAGGAAAGGGCCAGCTGCCATTGGAACTTCCCGAATCCAATGGCCTCGACAGCTTCGTCAATCACCCTGAGGTTCATTTCCACTTCACTGAGTGCATGTGTATTGTCGGATGTGTATTCGACCGTTGTGCCACGGCCGTTGCTCGGGATGGGCGTAATCGGCTTCCCGAGATCGTCCCCCTTTTCCACAGGGTCATCGTCAACGCTCCCACGGACAGTATTCATGATGTTTTCTGAACTCTTGGTGGAGTATCGAGGGGCCAAACTTAACGGGTTGCCTCCACGGCAGGGTAGACATCATCGACTCCATCCAACGATGCTAGTTACCCGAGAGATGATATACTCATCCCCCAAAACTCATTCTAACCATTTGCGTTCATGTTCGTCCGGCCTTTCGGCGTTAAGGACCAACACATCCTCTGCCTGTACCCCAGATATGCCAAGAACTACACATCTTCTGGTGGAGGTAGTGCCCTCCTGCTAAGAGAGATCTCGCGCGGAGTAAAGTGGGGACGGCCAGGCCGGAGTTCACATCCTGCGGGGACGGTCCGGACTCCCCGCCTCACGGCATGCGTACCCCGCCTCTCATGATAGCGCTGATTGCCTAAAGCGGCAATTCCAGCCTGAACATCCCGGCCACACCACCTCTGAACTGATAAGAGGCAACCTTACTTTGTCCCCGCAGTAAGAGCTGTCTAGACAGCTTCCTCGGTTGATGATATCCAAAGACAAGGACTCGCAGCCCACATGTTCCACGTTGCTGGCCTTATTGACATCGTCTGAAACAATGGCAGTTCAGTGCTACTTCCTAAGCCCCAACGAGGATGCTCCTAATAGCCGTCTTCCGGTGCTTCACTATCGCGATGTCCTCCCAGAACCCAGGGATGAGGCGTCAGTGACGGACTTTTTGACAAGGAACAGATGGGAGAAGAGGGTAAGAGAGCACCCTTATGGATAATTGTGTTCAACGTCTCACCAGCACAGGGCACATGGGGACACATTGGCATCCGCCATTTTCACCCGAATAGTCACGAATGCTATGGTTAGTGCGAAACTAACATGCGGTCCTTCAAGCTACTCTGACCTCGCTGTGATATGTAGGAATATTCCAGGGACATTCTAAGATGCTACTTGGGAAGATCTCCACCGGTCAGGGGATGGAAGTGGACGTGAAAACTGGCGACGTCATCATTCTTCCAGCCGGAACAGCGCATTCCTCGCTAACAAGCTCCTCTGACTACCGATACATCGGCGTGTATCCTCAAGTAAGCCTCTTTCTTTGAAACTTGCCGTCTTTATTTACCATAAAATGTGCTAACCAACTGTCTCTAGGATTGCCCTAAATGGCGAAACGAGATGGGTAAAAAGCCTGCAGGAGAGTTCAAGACCGTCATCAAGAGTGTCGAGATGCCGGAAGAGGATCCGGTGTATGGAAGGAATGGTCCATTGAATCAACTTTGGAATAAGGACATACTTGCCAAGCTATGAATCAGACTCATTTGAAGATTATGACCACCTCACCATGATTGATACCGCAAGCCCATATTGATCTCCTCTCAATCTAGTCTTGTTTTTGGCCAGCTTCTATCACCATGCCTTCCTTGTCTAGATCTCATCTCCCAGGCCAGTGTCAATACTCCCAACAGCCGCGGGCTTCCCTCGCCTGACCCTGAGCACGGCTCTCACATGCTCAATTCCCAACGGCGCTCCGTCGCGCACCGCGAGCAGTGACGCCGTCTTGACCACGTTCTTGATCTCACGACCGTTCAGCTCAAGCTTTGCCAGCGCCTTGAAGTCTTCCTCCTCGAGACGGAATTGCCGGGGTTCCAGCGCCCCGGTAGTGTCGAGCTTGCGGCAGTCAATGAAGACCTTCCAAACATGCAGCCGCGAGTCAAAGTCGAGCGCAGGGTAGTTGATGGTCAGATGTATACGGGACTCGAAAGCCGGGTCAAAAGCCTCCACGCGGTTGGTGGTCAGGAGCATGACGCCTTTGTAGTACTCCAGCAGTCTCAGGAAAACTATTCTCGAGGGTTAGACAGACGGGGCTATCGGTGATCGTGCAGAAATTCGGGTAGATACTCACCTGAGACAATCTGATTGCGCTGGAGGTCAGAAGCTCGTCTCTTCTCGAGGAAGATGTCACATTCGTCGAGGAGCAGCACAGCTTGCCATTTGGTGCACATCTCAAGCACGCGACGGAGGGAATCTTCCACGTCGTCGGCGGTGATTCCTAGTTCGCCAGCGCTCATGGCGTAGAGGGGCTTCTTCATCGCTTCGGCCACTAGGCGATGTGTTAGAACTGTCCTATTATATGGGAGAATAGTTGCACATACTCGACTCTGCCGTGAGTGTCTTTCCTACTCCCGGCTCTCCGCTAAGAAGCATGATGATCCCCTGGCCTGATCCAGTTAGCGATAAGAAAACTGCAGACATGTGGTCTGTGAAGGACGGGGACTCACCTTTGCCACGAATGATATCGTCAAAGCCACTGGCTGAAGACATCTGTGCCTCGACGAAAGCACGCATGATGGTCTTGTAGTCGTGCGGCAAGACAAGCTGGTCAAAAGCCCCCTCGTTCCACTCCACCTCCGTCACCGAGTCGATGAAAAACAGCCCTATGCTAGTATTAGCCATGATCTCTCATACCGAGGGTAAAAAATACCCCATTTCTTCGACGTCAAGTCGAAGCCCCGCACCATAGGCGAAGCGAGTTCGCGCTGATTCGCAGTCAACTCCTTGTCTGCCTCATTCGCCAGGCCCGCTGTTGCGGATTCGACATATCGCATTCTGCCCCGACGCGGCGGGCTGTACGGCAAGCCGAAACTCCCCCGGCGGCCTTTCATCCGTCCTTTGAGAGCACCCAACTTCTCCTTCTTAGCAGTGGGGTCCCTCAGTTTCTTCAGGCGAGGAGCGGCCTGGTATTCGTACCGGCAGTACGACTCGCCGTCGATGATGATGCGGCCATGCTCAATCTTGGCTCTGGTCAGACAATGGCCATCGTCAAAGGCGGTTGGGCCGGGGACTACTCACCTGTCGTCTCTCGACACCTTTGAAATCTCCGTGTCCATATTCAAATATTCCGGAATAGCCCTTGTAATGAAATCCCTTGTAGCTCTCGAACAACTTCCCTCTAGCTTCAAGCTTTTCCCGGATCTTCTTCATCCCCGGATGCAGATTACTGGGATAGATCGCCAGCTCCCGGATCGGCAACAAGTCATCAAACATGTGAACTTCAAACACCTTTGAAGCAAGCCCGAATCTCAAGCCATCTGTGTCAACGAACTGACATTTTAGCGCAAAGACGACGCTCCCACCCGACCGCGGTTCATATCGAGCACTCTTGATGAGGAACAACCGATCCTGGTCGTCAACCCGCGCATACGCCTCCGTATCAGGCTCGAAAAGCGTCCAGAGATAGTCAAACGAGACCACCTCATTCTTCCTCAGGTCCCGCGCGCGCTCAATCTGCGGCTTGATCTCCGGCGCCAGCACATCATACAGCAGCTTCACATGCTGCCTCGCCAGCTCGTCCGCCCCATCCTCCACGCACTTCTGCAGCGCCCGCCAGCGGTGGAAGAACGGCTGGAACGGCTCCTTGAACTCGACCTTCTTCAGCGTCGTGCTGACGCCAGGGTACCCGCTAAACACGTCGCCCAGCGCGCGCTTGATGTGCGGGCTGTTGACGATGACGGAGTGCAGCGCGAGAACGTTGCCGTCGGTCGCCTCGACGTTGACCTCGCGGCGCGCGATGAGGGCGAACTTGGCCGAGGCGGCGGCGGAGCCCGCGAGGCCGACGTACTCGGGCGCCCAGTCCTCCCAGAGGTCGCGCCGGCTTTTGCGGTAGAACTCCTTGACCTCGGGTGTCTGGCCGATGTCGGAGAGTTTGGTCTTCTCCTCGTCGTCGGAGGAGCGGGAGCGCCGGCGGGGAGGGCGTTGCGGGCGGCTTTCGTCGGAGGAGTAGGCGGCGCTGGAGTAAGAGTCTGGGGTGTCCATTGTGAAGGTATGCCTTGTGTTGGTGAGGAAGATGTCTGGTTGTGCAAGAAGGATGTGATTGATGAGTTGAACGAGAAGGACTATGCGATTTATTAGATCCCCCACTGCGGCTGAGAGCTGCTGTCATCCTAGTCATAAGGCAGACCGTGAAAGCCCATGATGACTGCATCCACTAGCGCAGTCGGTTGAAGCCAATCCGTCTGTCTTGCCAATGTAATTGGACCACGTTACGTACGACGAGAGTCCGCAACAAGAACACAACAGTTCATGCCAATACCACATCACTGAGTTTAGTTACACTGGATAATATGTCCTGTGGTTGCACAAAGTATCTCGATATCATTTTGTAAAGAATTCTTTTGTAAATTTTTATATAACTAGGGATATATAAGAGGTCCCCTTTACTCTAACTACCCCCTATATATCTAACTACTCCTATTAACTACTACTACACTATAACAATTATATATATATCTTTAAGTTTTTTTAATAAAGTATTATACTTTAATAATATAAGATATTTCATTTCATTAATATTATATAGTTTATTTATTTTAAAGTTTATTTTAATATACTTAAAATATCTCTATATTTTAGTTTAATAATATATTATCTTATTAAAGTATATTAATAGAAAGTAGTAATATATTTAATATATTATTGAGTTTTATATTAAAAGATTAAGTTATATCTATAAAAATCTAAATATTTTATTTTAGTTTTTGTAAATAATTATAAAAAAGCTATTAGTTACTACTTTTAAAATAATAATAAATAGTATTAATATAGTATAGTAATAATATCTTAATATTAAAAGAGTAATAAATTATAGTCGTATAAAGAGAGAGATATTTATTCTCTATAATTAAAGTAATTTACGCTCTCTTTATATACTCCTATAAGTAACTATAGAAGTTTCTCTATAAACTATCTTAGTTTTTAAATATTTCCCTATAAGAGTTATATAGTAGTTAATAAGGTGCGCCTCTAGGCGGTAAACTACGAAGAAGAAAACTTAGAAGGGAAGAAAGGGGGGGGGTATCTCGACATACTCGTGCGAGGACCATTCTGTACCTCTTCTAAGGTAGTGACTTACTGAGAGGCAGACTCATGTAAGCCTTGAAATTGAAATACGATCGGCACGTTGTGGCAACAGAGTCGTTCGAGAACGAGGTACGTATCCATGCCGACCCAGTCGCTTCACGGTGTTCTCGCATGCTTCCCATACATACGTCAACAGGGGTGTGAGTGAGGCCTTCATGATTTCTCGGACTTGATGATGGAACTCAAGCGTTATTGGTCCGCAGCAACCCCCCATGGGCGTATGCACGTCAGATAGGGCGGCAAATAAGAAAACAGTGCTCCATCGCCAGGCAGCAACAATTAAGCAAATGATAAATCTGACGTTACGCAGACCAAATATCCATTTCTTGGCATCATAACTGAAACCACAAACCCAATCATGGAAGACGACATCCGCAACGCTACCGGCACCCCCAACCTCAAATTCTCCTCCCAAATCGACGGCATCCTCAAACACGCCGGCCCGCGCGACAACGCCAAGCGCTGGGCACGCAACCTGCGCTTCCTCACCTTCGACACCGGCACCGACCACCACGATGCCGCAACCTCGACCCCGACCCGGGGCCAATGCCGGCGGTGCGCCGAACGGGTCCCAGCGCCGGCGGGCCACATGTGCGCCGCGCACGCCAACATCCAGCCCACCCCGGAGTCGCTAACGGCGTGGGAGCAGAAGCTGGCAGAGTTCCCGGACCCGTGCGCCCATGTGGAGGATTTGACCTGCGACGGGTGCCGGCACGTTCCTCTCTTCCCGAACACGGGGACGGTCTCGACGTTCCGGATCAGGAGGGCCGCGGTGACGGAGGAGGATGCTTTGTTCTCGGAGTGTCGCCATTTTGTGGTTGTGTCGTACTGTTGGGAGAGTCAGCCGTCGGACGAGGACGGCGAGGCAGCGTCTCTTCCGCCGTATACTGTTATCGAAGAGGATGGTACGAAACGCGAGATGAGGGCTCCCCGCGCCACGATTGACCGCGTGGTGAGGTTTGCGAGGGAGAACGGGTTTCGTATGATATGGATTGACCAAGTACCGCCCCCTCTCTGACTATCTCAGTTGTCGTTCGACTAACACCATCCAGGAGTGCATCGACCAAACCAACCCCTCCGACAAGGAACTCGGCATCCAGTCAATGGACCTCGTCTACCAGCGCGCACACACCTGCATCGGCCTCATGTCCACCCTCTGGTCGCAGCGGCACCTCGACGCCCTCCTCCTCCAAGCCGAGCTGCGCAACCCCGACTCCGGCGCCGCCTCCATCCACCGCCGCGGTGCCGCCCCCGTCCGCAAACCGCGCCCGGAGATGCAGCACTTCGCGAACGACCTCATCGCCGCCGTCTTCGCGCTCGTCTCCGACCGCTGGACAACCCGCGCCTGGGTCCTCCAAGAATCCCTCGTCTCCGCAGACCGCATGCTCCTCCTCTTCCCCCAACCCCCGGAAACAGACGTGACGGGCTGGTGGCTGATCTGCCACGAAAAGTCCCTCTCCGAGACCGCAGTCAGCATCCTCATGCTCCAGGACGCGCTCGAGAACCACGTGCTGCCGTACCTCACCCCGCTGCTCTCCTCCCCTCCCCCGCCCTCGTCAAACGCGGCGTCGTCCCCGATGGGCATGGCCGTCGCGCTGTTCGAGAGGGTGCGCTTCTTCTACCCCCGCGCCATCGACAACGACTCCCGCATCGGGCTGGGCGCCGACTTCTGGGACCGCAAGCGCTGCGACGCCGCCACCGCGCTGGCCTTCCTCAACCAGCGCGACCTGTTCCGCGTCGCGGACCGGGTGGCCATCCTGGCGAACTTATGCGGGTACGAGCAGCGGCTCGATACCGTGGAACTCGAAAAGGGCGGGTACGGGCTGTCGCATTGCCTGCTCGCGCTCGCACTCCTCAACGGGGACTTGTCGTTGCTGGTCCCGGAAATGTACAAGACCCCTGACGGCTATCCAGTGTGTAAGTCAACCCATCACCCACTCACCCACCACCACAGACTCACAAGCCTAGCATTCCCATCCGGCCCAGACGCAGACTTCACCTTCCTCCACTCCCTTACTCATAACCTCCGTCTCGCCGACGCAGCAACCCTCACACCATCCTCCAACACCGCCGTCCCCGACGACCCGCGCCTCTACGCCCTCTCCTCAAAGGGGCTCTCCCTCGCCGGCACGCTCTGGAAAGTAACCTCCTTCGTCCCCCTCGAGCCCATCAAGCTCAAATACGCTTCCGCCTGGCACCGCGCCAAAGCTCCCGGCACCCCGCCCTCCACCCGGCGACAAGCCCTCACGCACATCCTCCACGAGACCCTCACCCTCCTCAAATCTCAGAACATGATTCAGATAGCGGATGCTATCTTCAACTCCACCTCGGACGCAAAATACCGCGCCCAAACGCCAGACAACCCCCTCGAGTCCGTCCTGCAGATCCCAGAGGACACAAACATCGCAAACCGCGACGGCATGTTCTGGTTCAGCTGGGCAATGACCGAGCAGCTCCCTCACCAGGCCTGGATCGTCGACCGGATCATGGAGCTCGGCGGGGTCTGGGTCGCGGAGCCCGTGGACGCGGGATACCTCCCCTTCAACCCTCACCCACCATCCCCCTGCCCCTCCTCCGAGCCCGCCGCAGTACCGATGGCAGAGCAATGGCCCACCCTCCTCTCCAACCTCGACCCGTCCGCCTTCATCTCCTTCTTCCGCTCCACCTCCGCCCACCTATCCCGCCAAACCCACGCCGAGCGCCTCCTGCAAATCTCCCTGCTGACCAAATTCCTCGACCTCATGAACGACCGCTTCCTAACCTACTCACCAGAATCCAAATCAGCCAGTCTGCTGCGCAACATGATCCCCCTGCAGATGTACTCAGGCCTCCTGGCCGGTCAAATCTCCGCGTCAGAGTTTACCGACCGGCGGGCCGTCTTCGACCTCGGCGGGGAGGATGCGCTGGGCACGCTGGTGCTGACGCCCTTCCAAGCGCAGCTGGAGTCGATCCCGCGGCCGAAGACGCGGGGGCTCAGCGTGTCGTGGGTGGTGGAGGAGGCCGAGGGGAGCGAGGATGGCGGGGTTGGCGGGGATGAAGAGATGAGGTTTAGAGTGAGGGGGGTGGTTAAAGGGATGTGGCGGTTTGGGTTGCTGCATTCTGGGCGGTATACCTTGGTATGATGCTTCAACATACCTGTGCATAGTTGACATAAGTGTCTGAAGTCAGCAAAACACAGGAATATCGAACTCATATCGTGACGGTGCATGATGCCATTGGTATAAAATGCTACCTTCTAACCCTCTCATCTATCTTGACACTCCTCTTTCGTATATGTACACAGGACCGTCCCGGGCACGTCCTAGCATGCGTAGGCATACTTACACACCCATGCTCTCCGAGCTCACAACGCAAAAGAACGCAACCTAAAAATACATAAGAGTAGGGGGGTGTGGTGGTGGGCGGATGTCGTTTCTCGCAGCGTTTACATAATCAGTCTCATCAACATCACAAGCTTCACTTCAGGCACGAAAACCAAAGCGAGCGTTACTCGTGAGATGTGTGTGCGTGTGCGTGTGGTACTGCGGGAAGGGCAGGGAGACGCGAAACGAGAAACAAAAAGAAACAGGATGAAAAGACATTAAGGAAATATTTCTCGAGGAGGTCGCCCTCCAAAAATGCATGTTGATGCATGCTCCCAATGCAGTGCAGAGTGTTCGTCATCGTTGCCCAAGACGTGTAAGAAGTAATGAAATCCATGCCCAATGTTTTGTACGCCTTCGCAATTCCCTAGTCTGTGTTTCCACCCTGATGCTGCTAACCCACTATGGTATCATTTGCCCGGTGTTAAGGCCGGGTCGAGAACAATCAAATCTGCTGTGCGCCTGGAACGGCGAGTGAAGATGCGGAACAGCGCCGCCGAATGCATTCGTGAATGCGTCTGGCCTCTAGAGCGAGGCAAGCTTTTGGAGGGCGAGGAGGACGCCTGCGATGTTGTTAGCAACCGGGATAAGATCGAGGTGTTGATGATACTCACCACTCACACCCTGAGTCAGGGTAGCGCCGGCCTCGGTGTTGCGGCTGTGCAAGCTGACAGTCACAACATCGTTGACCACCTTGTCATCGCCGAGGGCGTTGGCCCATCGGAACACCTTCTCGTCTTCACGGCCATCACCAACAACCATGAGGAAGTCGACGGGGCTCTTGTGCTCGGCGTCGGGAGCCATGTGGATGCGCAGGTCGTCGAAGATCTTCTCAGCGGCGGTGCTCTTGGTCCAGTCGATGGGCTCAACCACGATGGAACCGTCAAGAGCGATGGCGTGCACGCGCTGCTCCTCGCAGGCATCGTTGACGTGGCTGGCGCAGTCTGAGGCCTGGCGGGCGGCCGATTCGTAGTCTTCGGCGCTCTTGTAGTGGAAGATGAGACTGCAGCGGCGCTCCTCGATTTCGGCGCCGGGTGTACGCTCGAGGTAGTACGTCATGATTGACTTGACCGACTCCTTCCAGCTGTTAATCTGCTCTCTATCGGCCATCTCGGTCCAGTTGCTGCGGCCACAGTCCTTGAGGAAGCAGCCGTTCTCGGCGATCAGGCCCAGATTAGGCACGCGGCGGAACAAGCGGTCGAGCTCCTCAGGACGACGACCGGACATGATATAAACGGTGTTGCGCTCGTCCAAGAGGAGATCGTTGAGGACATCGAGAGTACGCTGATGTTGTTAACAAGACAAACAAGACAAAGTAGGCGAGTTACGTACCTGAGGGCTAACGGGGATGATCTGGTTCATCGGTCCCCAGCTAACCAGAGTACCCTCGTAGTCGAGGATGAACAAGCGACGCTCGCTGCGGGAGTACCTTTGGGCGAGGGTGTTGATGTTCAAGCGGGGGACGGAGAGCTGGTCACGCTTGTGCTGCTCGTCGTACACGCGATCCAGCCTGGAAAGGAACTCACTAAACCAGTGCGATCCGGTGTGGTGCATGACGGCAGAGTACAGAGCGTTCCAGCGGCGTTCCTTCTCGTCGCCGCCCATTTCGAGGGCCTTTTTGATGGCGTCGGCGCATTGTCGGTAGTCCCAGGGGTTGACGGAGAGCTCGTTGCCGCCAAAGAGCGAGGCGGTACCGGTGAATTCGGAGAGGATCAAAGAACCGTGCTTCTTCTCGGGGAACACCTTTCCGTCTTGGCAGAACAGGTACTCGTGAGACGTCAGGTTCATGCCTTCGCGCTGACTCGTTATCATCAGGGCGTCGGCCATGGTGAGCAGGGCCAGGTACTGGGCGTAGTCGATGTCCTGCTTGAGGTATACGACGGGCTGGTAGGCCAAGTTGGCCCACGAGGAGTTGACTCTGGTGACGATGTCGCTAACAGTCGCGTCCAGGTCAGACTTCTCGCTGCTGGAGAGGGCGACCTGGATGAGGACAATCTTGTCGCGCCACTCTGGGTTCTTATTGAGGAACAGCTCGTAGGACAGCAGCTTCTGGCGGACGCCGCGGACGTGGTCGAGCTTGTCACGAGCAACGATGAGCTTCTTGCCCCTGTAACGTTCCTTCATGATGTCCATCCACTTCTCCACGTCGGCATCCGCGCGGTGTTCGCTGAGGTTGACGGGGTCGATGCCAATGGGCAGGTTGACGACGTCGACGAAGCGGTCCTCCAATTGCAGTCCATCGGTGGTGGCCTCGACGTTCAACAGCCTGCTGCAGGTCTGGAGGAAGTGGCGGGTGTACTCGTGGATCTGGAAGCCGATGAGGTTGGCGCCGAGCATGCCCTCGAGGAGCTGCTTGCGAACAGCCAGGCATCTGAAGACCTCGGAGGAGGGGAATGCGACGTGCAGGAAGAAGCCGATCTTGGCCTCGGGCAGCTTCTTACGGACCATTCCGGGGACAAGCAGCAGGTGGTAGTCGTGGACCCAGATGACGTCGCCGCGCTTCCAGTTCTTGACAATCTTGTCGGCAAAGGCCTGGTTGACATTGACGTAGTACTTCCACGAATGATCCTCGAAGGCTTTGCTCTTTGGGTTGTCGGGGATCTGGTAGTGGAAGACGGGCCACAGAATCTGCTTGCAGAAGTGCGAGTAGTGGCCGTCAAAGTCCTTGTCGGAGGTGAAGACGGTCAGCATGTCGTGCTCGGTGGCCAGTCTGTCCTCAATATCCTGCTTCTGCTGGGTGCCCTCGAGGGCGTCGGTGGGCATACCCAGTGTGCCGACCCAGGTGTAGTCTCCGAGCTTTCCATCACGGGCGGCGGCCTCGGCGGCGTTGCGCAGGCCACCGTTGCCCTGGTCGGCACTCATAATGCGCCAGTTGGCGTGGGCGAAGACGCGGTCGTGGCTGTCGCTTCTGGCGAGAGGACGCGGCTGGGTGACGCCCTGGCGACCGAGTTCCCTGGCCTTTTCGAGGGTGCGGCTGTGTTCGGCGATGATGGCGGGCGGGGGAGAGCTCGCGCGCGACTTGGGCTGGGTTGCGCGGGCACCCCACTTGGGGGAGCCCTTGTCTACGTGCGCGCCGCGCTTCTTCTCCTCCTCGGGGAATTGTATGCGGAAGCCATCCTCGTTTGCGAATGGGTCTTTCTCGGGGGTCTCTTCGGTCGGTGTGATCGGGGGTGTGATGTCGCGGATGGGGTTGAACAGACTCGGCTGGCGATCGGGTTCGGGACGCTTCTCGGTCTTTGTGCGGCGAAGAGGGTCTCCGCGCGAGGGAGTGCCGGGGAGGGCGAAGTGTACGGTTTTGGGGAGGAATCTAGAATCGCCAGGTCAGACAACGGCCTCGAATGGCAAGGCAATCGAAAATTGGCACGGAAGGGACCGCGGAGGACGTCGACGGACTTCAAGTGCATCCGCAGGGGGGTCACCCTGCAACCTGGAAGGTCCTCGAATGTTGCCAAGCAGGTTGGAGGGGCAAGAATGAAGATTGCGGTTGCTGGCAGACGAAGGAGCCACTCACAGTGATGCGATGAAGACCGTCATGCTGGGCAGTCTGGCTCGAGTGTAGCCCTCAAGCCTCTGGCGGATGTGTTTGGTAGGTGGCGATGTTGACCCTCGGTCGGTGGTCGGTTGTCGAAGGGAGGGTTGAGGGAGGGTGCTATTAAGGTGAAGCACAGGCGGGCGGAGACGGGTAAGGACAAGGTGTGGAGGGCTGGCGACGATGTGGAGGAGGCGGGGAGCTATGAGCAGCTTTTCGTCGAGCAGAACATGTGGAGAGGACAGGAAGGTCGAGGTGAATTGAGGTGAGAAGAATGGAATGGGTGGTTGAGGAGAGCTGCTGCAGGTGTTCCCGGGTTGCGTCGAGATTGGGGAAGGGATCGCCGGTGTCAAGGCGGATGGAGGCGAGGCGACCCAGCGCTTTATGGAGTGCGGCGGCGGTAATACAACCTGGAGGTAGGTTGTAAGAGAGGTTACCTGGAGGAGTTTGAGTTGGGTTGGACGGAGGTAGGTAGGTAGCTGCAATTACGTCCAAGAAGAGGGCGAAGGAGTGTGGCTGAGAAGTGCGAGGATGATGAATGTGGGAGGACGGCGGGATGTGATTGGATTTATGCCTGTGCTTGTCTTAGGCCCGTTGCTTGCTTTGCTTGGTCGCTTGCTTGCTTTCTTTCCTTTACTTCCAAGCAGGCTTGTATCCGTATGTCAGCTGTGTGAGCTTTTCCTCCGGCAGAAGAATAAGACGTTGGGTTGCGTTGCGTTGCGTAATTGCACAAGTGAATAGAGAGAGGACGCGGGCGCATGCTAAGCCCTTTGCGACAAATCAGGGAACAAGCAACAGAGAGAAATAGTGCAAGAAAGAAGGCGTTGGACGGCTGCCGATGCAGATGCGATGCGCGAGATCGATCGGGGAGGGGGGTTCGGACCACGGCGCGAAGATGACGGAAAAAGAAGAGGGAGGGGCAGCGGGGAAAGAGGAAGAAAAAAAAAAAGTGAGGGTGGGTGTTTGCTTCTCACGATACTTTTTTTCCCCTCGGCTTTTTTTCGAAATGTTTTCTCGAGAATATTCCACTCTTTCCAGAGCAGAGTGGAGTGCCCAGGTATTTTTGGGGGGGGCGGGTGGAGGGCGAGGTGCAGGACAGGGGGGTGGTGACAGGCCGGAAGCGCTGAAGTTACAGCGACTCGACCTGACCTGCAGCAGTGACTGACTGGCTGACTGAAGGAGTTGACTGACCTGGGATGTGTGATTGATGGATGGATACACCTGCTTCAGAGAGCTGTGGGTGAGGTGGGATTGGACGGGAGGAAATGCGACGAGACCTTGGCCCAGAAGTGCATGGAAAGGGAAATGGAAATGGAATGGAAATGGAATGGAATGTTGATAACGAGATGCATCCCAAGACACTCTTTGGGGAAACACAGCGTTGGCATGAATAAACAGTGACGGCATGCGTGGGACAGAGGCCCGGTCTGGACACTCATCCATCATCTGTGGATGAATACCTCAAGGTACCAAACCAAACGGATGCCGATAGAAAGAAAACACCACACAAGAACGTACCTTTTCCAGAGAGCAACAGCTACAAGCTGCAGCTAATACACCAGCAACAGAGGAACGTCACTGACGTAATGAGCAACCCAGTTACGTATCCGAGGCGTCAAATGGGAGCTAATGCACCGCTGGCTCCCCTAATGCACGCCGCCCACGAAACGGAACCGGACTTGGACGAGAGGCTAAGTGAGCGAGGGCCTGTGATTCGATCGTTTCTTCGTTTTTCTCTCTGCCTTCCGTTTTGTTGGTGATGAGGCTTGCTTGTTGGGACCAGACAGAGTTGTCCAGTTGCAAGTTGAGTTGAGTCTTTTGGCAAGAAAAGACACTAAGGTAAGGTAGCTTCGATCAAGACAGATACAAAAAATGATCGACCGTCTCTGCTGTTTCGTGTCGGGTCACCAGCGCACACGATTTTTCTGGCAGCGACCTTTTTGGTGTTGATGTCGTTTTAAGTTGGCGCCCAAAGCAGGGGACACCACGTTGTAAGGTGCGCACAGCTGGGCTGGAGACCACGCCGGGAGCTGCACCCAGGAACAGGCAACGTGACGGAACCGACGGGGCAAAACGGAGCTGCACGTCCGGGGTTTTAAGAGGTTGGCGACAGTGGGACACGCAGAGACAAACAGAGAGAGAGAGAGGGAGCCACTCCGACGAGTCGACGACGGGCGACGGGCGACGAGAAAGGACCCCGGAGACCCGAGATGACGAGAAGCAGGGGACCGCCCTGTGCGCTGCTGCTGCGCGGTTGGGTCGCGACAACGACGGGGGGGGACCACTGACTGACTGGGGCAGGAAGCAGAGAACCCGCCGAAGCGTGAAGAAAAAAAAGAGCTCAGGAGGTTTTGGTCCGGGTAAGCTCAGCCTTTGCTGCTGCTGACGACGATGATGGAGATCGTGATGATGGTGATGTGTGTGTGTATGCTTTCTCTCCGGGGAGGAGGTAAACAAAATCAAGGAAAGCTGATCCAAGAACCAGAGAGCTGGGGTGGGGACATGGAACGAGAGGACGAGGAACGGGAGGGAATCGAAGATCGGGGAAGGGATGGGACTTTTAACTGGGAGCGCCGCCTGGAATTTTCCTTCCGGATGGAAATTGAACGGGACTGGACGGATGAATCCATGCCTTGCCTGTTGCTCTTGTCCTCCGGCATATTGATGTTCTTTACAAGTCTACTCCATCAGAAGAGGGAACCGTCAAGCAATCCCGAGTTCCCTCAGCTTCGTCTGGTCGGGTCTTCCATGCAACGAAGCAGTTCCTGGGGAATAACAAGCGCGGCTCGTCTGGGCTGGCCGGCCGTCGTCTCGTCTTGCGAAAAAGGCTACTTGGTCTACATTCAGTCTCACGAAACTCACGCCACAAGCCAAGTTCAACTCAAGTACTTATTGAACACAATTTGTAGCTACTTCTCGCACTAATCAGAGCTGACTGGTAATGTATCATCCCGAGCAACGCGAAGCAACAGCACGACAGAATCCCACCTCGCTGTGCCTCATTTTAGGCCCCTTCGGCACCCCCTGGCTGGGCATGCGGGAACAATTGGAACGAGATCTCTGCTGCTTTTCAGTAGGTACGTACTGATCACTGAACAGTCTCATTTTCAGGCCTTGCGAAAAGGGATCCGCGCCGCCGCTGTGAGACTTTTGGGGCCTTGGAGCCTTGGGCCGACAGGGATGGGCCGCCGGTGCACCAGACGACGAGACGAGCCCGAGAGTGCGTCCAAGACCAGCAGGGGTCCTTCGGCAACGACTGGACGAAGGAACGGACGCAACACAGCTAGCTGTACTCAGAGCTGGAAGCTAATGGTGGCGGTGGTGGTGGTTGTCGAGCTGGCTGGCTAGCTGGCTGTCTTCTCCAGATACATGTGATGGACAGACAGACGTTCAAGTCCACAAGTCTATCAATGTCGCTGGACAAACATAGAGTTGCAAACAGAATTGCAGCTAGCCAGCCAGCCCTGGCCTGGCCTTGGCCGTGGTCAAATGTGATTGATGATGGACAAATGATATCTCGTCTTCCACGGCCGACTTGAGCCGTCAATGTCCGGAGCGACTTCTCCCACCCACCGGGGCCATTCGCAGCTTCTTTGAGCTTCGTTGGGTGTTTGATGCACATGGTCGCAATTCTCTCATTTGTGATCAAAAACTCACTTCCTTCAAGCTTCGCTTTTCTGGCTCGTCAGACCAGATCAGACACAGACCGGCCGGTCCAGGCTTCGGGCTTGAATTCAGGTAATCCCCGTGGCACCAGAGGGAAGAAGAATAAGCCATGCGACGCCATCCATGTTTCCCGTCTGTTGACCGGGGCGCGTGTCCGCAAACACTCGAGGGCTTGTTTGCTCATCGTTACCTCATCCCGCCCGCCTCATCTGAGCAACACACTCACAGTGAGATGGCCGCGTGGATACAACGGCTTAGCCTTTCTGCCTCTATCCGTACCTTGTGCTGCCTTGCCTCACCTTACCTTACCTGGTCTTGGCTAGTTCCCGCCTCGTGCCGCGTCGTGGCTGCCCTCTTCCAAGCCACTGGTGACTGACAGCTCCCCTTGGCGCAAAGGAAAGTCCAACGGCTATGGGACGGCTGAATGTGGATGGTGATGAATGGCAAGGCATGGGCAGGCACGCCCAGAGACATCTTCACCATCGTCATGTGCCCCTCCCCTAAGCTGTCATTGTCTCCTCCCGCCGTTGACCCCTCTTCTTCTTGCCTCTTTCTGGCCGGATGGTGAGGGGAAGCGGAAAGACTAAAAAACACCAACCACCAATATCGTTGTCGCCATCGTCACCACCACAAAAGGTCACCACCACAGCCACCACCATCCCACATCACCCTTTTCCTGCCTGACAAGATTCGGCACGTCCATCGGCCCTTAATCAACAGGCACTCCAATGATTCGGCGATACCACCATGACAGCGCGTCGTCAACTGTCAGATTGCCGCCTGCCACGCACCACCCACGCACGTCGTTCGCCGCTGCTGCGCATCCAACATCGACTCTGCATATGCACCTCATGCTCGCTACTTTACCTCGCCTTGCCAAGCCTGGCCATGGGCACCTTGCACTCTGCACCTTGCCTACTTCCTCGGTCTCCGTTGACCTGGACTTGTCTCTGGCTCTGTAGACACTCAGCGCAAGAGGCGATGAGCATGAAGCTGCCATCATCGTCCACTCGTCGCTCGCTGCGTGGCTGCAACCTGATCGTCTGCACATTGTCGACTACGGTTCGCTGATGAAGTCCCCATCCAGCCAGCCATTCCATCGAATCCACGGCCATCTGTTTATCGACGACCGTACGACCGCGGGCGACAAACAAGCAACTCGACCATGTTCAGGGATAATTACGTTTCTTCATCTGCCGTTGCAAAACCCTCACAGCACAGCTCGAGATCATTCGTCAGGAAACACACTTCCCGTCGTCGAAAGACACGTCCCGCGCATCTCGAGCTGGAGCTAAGGTCGGGAGCTCCCCAAACCCAGCTACATACTTTGCAGCATCTATCTGTACAGCTCTGCACTCGGCCACACTCTCCCGAGAGCTTGTCTCCGCCCGGGCGGTTCGCATTGGGCGTGGCGCGACGCCGATCCCCAAAGTCAATCCCATGTCTCTCTCGTGTTGAGACATTCATCCTCTTCTTACCCCAACATGTCTCTCGAACTAACCTCTAGTCACTCCCAGCCTTGAGCTTGACTTTGCGTGCGGCATGTCGCGAAGCATCTGGCCGTTGCTTAACTCAACCCGCTGCTGGAAGCGGCAGGGTCTTCGACGAAGCTTTCAGAGTTTGAACGAGCGCCCAAAGCAACCTTGCAAACACCCATCCGCGCCCATCCATGTCACTGCCCAGACACCCCTGGCAGAAACACCGGCTTTGGCCGGGTCCACGGCCCCTGCGGGTTTGGGCCAGTGTTCCACGTTTTTTCTTTCTTTTTTTTTTTTTTTCTCACTCGCCTCCCGTGGCTCTGTTTCTCTGGCCCTGCAGCGGCGTTGCTGGAGAAGACGACGAGGACCCTGGCCCACGATATGGGGAACTCTGCCCTTGTGACGGGAGGGTCTTGCTGGAGACGCCGCAGCCGAGCCGCTGGGGGGAGATGTTTTTCGTCACGGCTCCATCACGCAAGGCACTTTGATCAATCACCCGGTCAGCTCGACTCAATCGTTCTCACTTCATCCACTTTGACAGGCAGTGCATGGCTCAGTAGCGACCAAGTTCACCAGACTGGATGGCGGACGGAGGCTACGGGGCGGGGAAAGTTCCCTTTCTCAATGTCCGTGAGGACGCATATCTGATGAAGAAACTCCCCAAAACCTCCATTGGCGCTGGACCTTGTCTGGCTGGCTCCATCACCACCCCGGCCGATCTTGCTTGCAAAGCCGCCCTCAGCGACATGAACATGTGCTTGATGCAAGCCTCTCATTTCAGAAGGTTGCCAGTCTGCAGTCGATCTTCTCGCCTTCCATCAACCCGGCAAAGAGGGTGAGGGGCTTGTACATGCGAGAAGACCGAATAAGGTCGAATCAAAGCCCGAACGCGTATTTTCAAACTCTGGGCTGCTGGGCACTGGGGATGGGAGGGGCACTGGACAAATCGCGCTTTCGTGAGTGGCTTGGAGGCCTCGGGTATGATGAGGGGCTGGCCTTGGATATGGTCACGTCTCTCACCTTCTGCCACAAATTCTCACGATGTATTCGGTCAGTTCAGCCCTGGATGGGTTGGCTGGCAATCATGAGAGTAAACACCTCAATGGTCATGCGCTCGACTGGGATTCGACAGTGTTGGGACAGTTGGGTAACACATTGGCGATCGGCGCACTCGCTTGGCTGTTTACACGACATGTTGATCGACAAGAGCGTTGCGCAACAATTCGCCGAGAGACTTCAACGACAAGAATCGCAAGCCGTCTCGACTGGGCTTGGGTTTCGCGACAGCTATCCATCAAAAACTGGAAATGCCTCACTCGCGGCCGCAAGACGACGCCTGCAACTCTGATACTGCACATCCAACAACGGCCCAATCAACCCCGGACCACGGATCTAGGCTGAAATCTGGAATATTCCTCCCTCCAGTCAAAACATTGACTTGAACCCCGTGGCATATCTCACACGGCGCATCCAGACGGGTCAATCCACAGCAGAAGCCAGATCCATTCCTGGTCCATCCCATCCCTCCCCACATCAACCAACGGCACCCCAGTCCGAGCCACCATCTTTCTCCAGACGTCAACCCCAGTCGCGGCCGTGTTGCGACTTCACACCAGCCCACCTTGTCCTTTCTGCGGCGGCCCAAAACCCATCTGAACGTGCTCCTTGTCACCCTTGGCGATTCCAACTCGTCAACTGCCCACCAGCGCGTGTCCGACATCACCCGATGAGGCATCTAATTCCTTCAGCCCTTGCGGTTTCCATAGGCTAAATGTCAGATGGAGGATTTATACAAGGCGTCAGAAACTAGCAAAGACGCCAACCAAGGCACAGCCCTCGCCAGGCGTGATAGTGAGGTAGCTCCAACCACACCCCCCCTCCCCCCCAACCCCCCAACCCGATGGCGAACCAGTCGATTTACATGAGTCCGTCCGCCTCCATGGGCAACGGAAAAGGAAATTGTCATAAATGATAGAATTTCCCCGCCCCCGACTCCGGTTTCCCATGCTCCAGGCCCAGTTGCAACGGATCTCGCGCGCCGCAGCAGCCCTGCAGAATGGCCGACGGACATCTGCATTCTGCTGGGTGCATCTCGCGGTCTAGAATCTGCAACACTCGATGCCAGCCAGTTCATTCAGTCATCAACATTTTGCGATGGAAGGAATCAGGTTGTCCGCTAAGCGCTCGGCCTCCCGGCCCAGACGGCCATGATCACGGCTTAACTCGGCAAGCTGAAGTGCTAACTAGGGGCGGCCCGGTCCCGTTGTTCCGTCGTCGCGCTGGCTAGTCCTCAAGAGACGCGATGACTATCGATTACAAATGATTGAGACACTCACCAATGTAGTCTGCACCAATGGCGCGGGAATACTAGCCTGATGGAGAAGATTGCTTGAGAGCGGCAGAGACCATGAACGGCTCATGTTGTCGGGGATGAGGTGAGGAAGGCCACGTCAAAACGTGGGAGTGACCGGCGATGCCATATCCCGCCAAGGATCCGTTGCCGAACACGTACCCGCACCTCTGCACGACGGGGAACCATTGCAGTTCCCTTTTCAGCCTCTCCAGCGTTCTCAGAGATACCTCTGCATGTCCTTATTTGCCAACACAGACTTGAGGGCCAAGCAGCTCCAATGCCTTGGCACCCCAGCGGGAGACGTGCAGGAGGAGCTAGACAACATGGCCCTGTGGGGATCGGCAACTTGTTTGGGAGATCGGGTACAGGAGATGACTTTGACTTCCAGGTACGCGTACTCTTTCCGCGAGGTGCGTGTGGTGATCATTAGTGATGGTCCAGCCCGGTCTCACGATTCCCCGACGATCAGGGCGTGACTTCCAAAGACTCATCACCCTTGATATGACGAAAGACGTCGCGGGGCCCATTGTTGAGAGGAGGCTTGGTGTGGGGAATAACATGATGATGTGACTTATCCCGAGGAGCACCTGATACGGGTCTGCGTTATCCATCCGAGAATGCCGCGAGCACTCCGATACGACTCCGCTGGTCCGGGAGTGGGGCCCGGAGTCGAAAGGTGCGCCGAGCGGGGTATCCCGGGTCGGGAGGTAGCCGGTTCATCAGTCGACGATTCACAAAGCACCAAGCAAAGCACCTTGGCATAGTCCTGACAAACATAAACACGCCCATCTCTGGTATTGCTTCCAGCTAAGGGTCTTCTAAACCCCTCGGCTATCCTAACCTTGGCATCTTGGTGTCTCAACTACAACATTCCAATGTGTCAGTAGGAAGCCGGATCATTCTCATCAAGATTGTGATCATGCAGCTGCAATCACCCCAAACATATGCAAGCCTTCCAAGCCGCCTCTGGGGGCTCATCCTCGATGTAGAAAGCCGTAGCGCCTCCGCACCGGCAAACAGGCTTGAATCGGCCCCGTCGTTCATGACTGATGAACACTCTGCGGCTGCAACGACCAAGATCGGCTGTGCAGGAGACACACCATGATCTGAGGATGGCTGTTACCTTACACATGTAATAGTCATCACAGCTCGCGCCGGGCTCTCCCGCAGAATCATGTGAAGCCAACGCAAGGGACAAACATGCATAACTGGGAAAAAGGGGGTATATTCTTCATTCTTTTGTGTATCCGTTCTAAATCCCGAAAAAGAAAGCCCATCATACCGTCTCTCGGCTCAGTTGCACCACAACCGCACCGCCTTGTCCTTCCCGCCGCTCCCCACGCGCCCGCCGTCCCGTGGGCTCCAGTCGACGGCGTACACCTCGTCCTGGTGCCCCGGCAGGTCGACCGCCAGCTTGTGCGACGCCATCGACCACACTTTCAGCGTGGTGTCCTTGGACGCCGTCACGAGCAGGCGCGAGTCCGCGGAGAAGGCGCACTGGTAGACGGGCGCGACATGGCCGCGCAGCGTGGTGATGAACTTGCCGTCGCGCGCGCTCCACAGCTTGGTCGCGTTGTCCCAGCCGGCGCTCGCGATGAGCGTGCCGTCGGGCGAGAAGGTGACGTGGTTGACCTGCTTCTGGTGGCCGAGCATGCGCGCGACGGGCTTGGTGCCGGCGGACGGGTCCCAGAGGTACATTGTGAAGTCGTCCGACGCGGAGACGAGGCGCTCCGCGACCTTGCCCTGCACGCGCGCGGCCTTCTCGAAGCGCTCTTTCGCTTTCGCCCGCCGCGCGTCCTCCGTGTCTGGGGTGGGGGTGTGGTCGAAGAAGCCGGTCCGCAGGGCGAACTCGGTGGACAGCGCGAGGTGGTTGACCCAGTGCGCGTGCGAGGAGAGGGTGTGCACGAGGGTGCCCTTCACGGCGTCCCATACTTTCACTGTCTTGTCGTGCGAGGCCGTGTAGATGAGCCCTGAGCCGCCCCACTTCACGCAGGAGACGCTGGACTTGTGGCCCGAGAGGACGTGCTCCGTCCGGCCCGTGTTGACGATCCACACGCGCACCGTGGCGTCCTTGCTCGCGGACGCCAGGCGCGGCGTGCCGTCGCGCCAGAGGTGGTACGGCTCCCATGCGATGTTGGTCACCCACTTGGCGTGCCCGGTGAGCGCCTGCTGGGACGCCGGGACGCCCTTGTCCGGGTCCCACAGGCGCACCGTCTTGTCCATGCTGCCAGTTGCGAGGCGGCGGCCGTCGGGGCTCCAGGCTACACACAAGACCCAGCCGGCGTGGCCCGCGAGGGTGTGCTTGGGGGTGCCGGTCTCGGTGTCCCATATGCGCGCGGTCTTGTCGCCGGAGCCGGTGGCGAGGCGCTTGCTTGTTTCAGGGGAGAACTGGGCGGCGAGGATGGCCTCGCCGTGGCCGGGGATCTTGTGCGCCATGCGCGTGACGGCCTGGACCTTGAAGACGGCCTGCGGCTCGGCGGAGAGGGTGATTGTCGTCTCGAAGGGGTTGGCAACGCCATTTGCGCGGAGGGTCTCGAGGAGGTTGGAGGGGTAGGTCTCGATTACGGTGTCGGAGTCAGGGATGTGGATGCGGAACTTGTAGGGGAGGAAGTCTTCTCTTTCCTGTCGGGTGGTTAGCTATTGAGACTCTTGGGTTTCTTGAGTGCTTGAACCCGGGTTTACCTTTCCTAGTAGGGTGTTGAGAAGCAGCGTGAGGTTCTTCTCCGAGGCGTCGGCCAGAGGCACCTCAATCACCTCGGCGAGCTGCTGGCCGTCGCCGTCGACGAAGCGGGCCTTGAAGGAGCCCTCGAGGCCCGGCGTGACGGCGTCAACATCCTGTTGCGTTTGTGTCCTGGCCAGCGTCTCGCGCTTCTGGCGCTTCGACGGCGGGGGCACGACCGTCGCCATGGCTGTGAATGTGCCCGGTGGTCGTAGTTGTGGTGTAGTGGTGTTGACCGCCCGAAAAAGTGGTGGTGAAATTATTTCGACGACGGCGATGCGGGATGGTGGGGCAGAAATTTTGAAAGGGACGTCGGCGAGAACTTGTCCGTTGTTGCGACTGTCTCCACTTTAATTGTCCATCACTGCCCGCCCAGTGCATTGAGGTGCTATCTGGAACTGGTGGGGTGCAGAGCGAATCTCTGTTAAGGCGGGCGGAAAGCCGATGGTCTGTCTCCTGTGACCGACATAAAAAGGAAAAAAGGCATTTCCCCCGGCTGTAGTAAAATAAATCGACGAATAAACTGACTCCGGAGCGGAATCCCTGCGGCTCCATTCCCGAAACTGTGCTTTTTCCGCGAGGATAAGAAAACATACACTCGAAGGAGAGAGGCCATCCTTGTCTGGTGCTGGCCTGCGGGATGTCCATATAAACGCCCCCATATCCTCCGTCCGGCCCGCCCACGTACACTGATCTCGACTTTTTTTTACACCTTATTAAACCATGGCGACCATCTTTCAACCTCATGACCGGGCTCAATCTGACGAGTTGGGTCGAACTACCTTCCCATGTGCATGCTCGGGTCAAGACTCTGCTGGTCCATGGCATTCTTCTTAGTAGGCCGACCTCGACGCTTCTGCTGGGCCGGCGTGCCTCCTCCGCCTGCCGACGCTCCCGGGTTGTTTGCCGGCGTATTCCTGTAGTGCTGGAAGACGTTGTTGGCATTCGGCCCTGGCGCCTGTTGCATCCCGAACTGCGGCACCGGGATCGGGGTCTGCTGGACGGGCGTCTGTTGCACGGCGTTGCCCATGTGCTCTCGCGCCATGTTCATGAAGTTCTGCTGGTGGCGGTTGCTAACCTCCGCCTGCCGGTCACGGTATTGAGCGTGCTCATCGTGGGTCGACTGCTCGAACGGGTGTTTCGGCATACCCGTCATGCTATCCCGCGTCATTTGCGTCATCTGCTGCTGCTGGGCGGCGCGATTGTGGGCATGCGCATGAGCGTGGTTGTGATTATGGTTATGATTCTGGGCCTGTGGCTGTTGGTGTTGTTGATGTGATTGGTGCGTTTGGTGCTGCGGTTGGTGTTGTTGTGGTTGCGGTTGCTGGTGGTGTTGCGGTTGAGCTTGCGTTTGTTGCTGCTGCTGCTGTTGCTGTGTCTGCTGCGCGCTTTGAGATTTGCGACGGTTGTCTTCAATCTCCTGATGTTTCCTCTCTTGCCTTGCCTGCCGTTCTTGCCTTTGTATATCCTCGTTCTCAATGGCATAGAGAGCCGCTACACGCAGCTGCAGCTGAGCCAGAATACCCATGCGCTCGGGTTTGGACATCTTCCGGTATTCCGTCTTAAAGTTGTGGAAGGTATCGCCGGTGAGTCGCATCTGGGAGGTGGAAACGCCGGCTACTGCAAGGGCTCGCGACGTTTCGGGATCTGGTGTTGGGATGGAGTCGTCCTGCTCGGGCACTACTACGGGTCAGTATTAGACGACGAAATGATAAAGCGACGACGGGCAGAACCCACATGCTGATGCGTCCTGAACATCGGCATCCCCCTCAGCATCGGCGTCCTCCTCATCTGTCGGCGGATCAGGTGTCCTCGGCTCGTGGTTATGCTCGTCGCAGATGACCGTCAAGAGCCATGCGCCCATGGTCTTGCGATTGACCGCCTTCGCCTTCCATGGACAGTTTGTCTTCTTGGTCGTCGTCTTCAGCTGGGTCGCGGTGCACTTGTACGGCTGGCCGCCGCGGTCGCAGACAAGATCGCATCGCACCACCTCGCTGCCCTTCTCGTACGTGCCGCCGACCTTGTTGCGATGCGTGCGCGACTTGACGACCTTGTAGCCATCCTTCTGCATGCGCGCCTTGAGGGCGGCAAACAGCTCCTCGAAGGAGGTGTACGTCTTGGTGTTGCTGTCGACATTGACGGCACCCAGGATGCCAAACATGTTGGGCGGCGGCGCGGGGGAAATCAGCAAACGAGGATCTCGGTGGTGGCCCCCGGGCGGTCGCACACAGACCGCGACACACACGCGCGCGCGATAGAAGCACTAGGTCGCGATAGCTTCAAATCCACTACCGGGTTGCTCGGTCGAGATGGGGGAGGGGGTGCCTTTTTTTCTCGGTGTGTCGAAGGGGTGTCGCGGCGCGACGCGGTTCGGCTGCTGCGCAGAGCTGTGTGGATTGGGTTGGGGAGCCTGTGCAAACTCTTCCAGACGTGCACCGGGCGGATGAGGTTTGCTCCACTGGTAGTCATCGGCGGCTCGTCGTTGGGTGGCTGGAGAGGAATTGTGTTTCACGTGGTCTGTGCTGGGCGTGGCTTGTGCGCCTGCATTCTGTGGCTCCACCCCCGCATCCCAATTGGAGGCACATTCGACCGGGACAACCCCGGCTCTTGGCCGTGTAAGTCGGGCAGGTGCCCTTCGTGGTCGTGATTGCCTCGATATCCATGCCTTTGCAGGTTCTTCTGGAAATCTTCCAGCTTCGAATTTGTGGCAGCATCAATTCTACTACGCTAATCGAGGACTGGGAGATCAGTAGGTGCCATCCAAATTGGGCCACCAACGAGCATCTGACCTTGCCTCCTCCACACCGCGTCGCCATGGAGGACCGACGTCTGGCCGGCGCGAGGTCAGTCGCATCGTTCCGAACCGCGCAGACCCGAACGCCCATCTCCCGAGAATCATCGCCATACTTTTCGTCCCAGGCTCGAGATCCCAACAACAAGAGTACCAACTCTACCTACTTCACGGCTACCCCTGAAGCATCATCCTCTACAGACCGCAGGGCGGGCTTGGTCTACACCCCAAGCTACGACTACTATGACGACACCAGCGGCACCACTGGTTCTCGTCAGCCCAAACCATCCTCTGGCCACTCATACGACTCCAAATTGGGCCAGTCTTACACCTCCCGTCCCGGAACTTCGTACAGCAGTCGCACATCTCGGACTCCTCTCCCTGGCAGCGAAAATCACAAGATTGTGTGCGCGCTGACCGAAGCTCGAGGGGTTACTCCGTCCGTCGGTATGGCATCGATCAACGTTGCCACTGGCGAGGTGATTCTCAGCCAAATCTCAGATAGTCGGTTCTTCACCAGGACGATCCACGAGCTTCAAATTATGGAGCCCCATGTCGTCTTGATTGTCAGCACGGCTTGCCCGCCGAATCCAAAGTCGAGACTGTACAGCCATATCGAAGAGAACATGCCCGGCACCAAAATTGCTCCCGTTGACAGAAGGTGCTGGTCAGAGCTAGAAGGCATGCACCGAGTCAACACATGTGCCTTTCGAGAGGATGCCGAGTCAATCAAAGTAGCTCTGGAGGGCAGCTTTTATGCGACTTGTTCGTTCGCCGCGGTACGTCTTGTATCCCTAATGCATAACAGACACTGATTGAAAAACAGGCGGTTAGCTTTATCGAGGATCATTATGCGATTCGCGTCTTCCCCAACTCCTTGCGAGTACGCTTCCAATCGTGCGAAGACACCATGATGATCGATGTATCAACCATCTTATCACTCGAAATTATCCAGAACCTTCGGAAACCACAGTCAAAGGACAACCTGGTCGGGCTGTTAAATCAGACGAAAACGCCAATGGGCTCGCGAGTCCTGCGCAGCAACTTGCTACAACCTAGTACACTCAAGGAAGCATACCTGGACCCGAGATATGAAGCTGTTGAGGAGCTGCACAAATCTGTCGACATGTTTGTAGACGTCAGAAAAGGTAGACATATCCCAGCGAAGGCGATCGGCATTTGTTGACTTTTACAGCGTTGAGCTTCCACGACGTCGAGAAAATGTTGACCCGGGTATGTTGTGAAGGCGCGATCTGATGATGAGCGTGCTGACCGGGGGAAGCTCGTCCTTGTGCCGCCTCAGCCGTCCATCGCAGCAACAGAATCCTCCATGGACAGTGTTCTCAAAGTCAAAGCCTTTGTCGATGGGTTGCCCGATCTGTATCAAGCAATGAGACCTGCTGTTTCGCCACTCTTAACCAAGATCCGTGACCTTTTTCGCCCTGAAATGATTGCCCCTCTGCGAACTTTGATATACGAGACAATCCACGAAGATGTCACCCATACCAAGAAAGCTCTCGATCAGCGCAACCAAAGAGCTTTTGCCGTCAAGGTAGCTCTAACGGCAGCGGCTTCTTTGCTGGCTTCATCGCGCTAACCATCTGCAGGCTGGTGTCAACGGTCTTCTGGATGTCGCTCGGCAGGCATACAAGGAGAATACAGAAGATGTCCACAAGCATGTGGACCAAGTCAACGGTATGATGACATCCTTTTCGGCGCGTGTACAATTCCGCTTTCTGACAACTTTCAGGTGAACTTGATCTGGATGCCAAACTTCAGTACGATCCAAAGCGCGGCTACTCTCTCCGCATGCGAGAAGTAAATTTCGAAGATCGACCAATCCCGGGCATTCTTGTCAACCGAGTTGTGAAGCGCGGCAATCTCGAATGCATGACGATCCGCCTCAAGCAGCTAAATCAGCGGATTTCCGATTCTGTGGCTGAGATCGCCATGCAATGCGACAAGGTGATTGAGGATCTCATCGACAACATCAGAACTCAGATAGCGGTTCTTTATCGTATCTGTGAATCAGTCGCTCTGCTTGATATGCTGGCCTCGTTTGCTCATGTCAGCTCGACCTACGACTGGGTTCGACCAGAGGTTTCCGACACCTTGGCACTCAAGGCCGCAAGACATCCGATCCTAGATAGGGTATGTTTCCCGCGGCTACTTCTTCCACGTTTGCTGACAGAGAGTGATAGGAGCTGAAGGAAGAATGCGTCCCCAACGACTTCTACGCGGATGACAACTACCGATTCCAGATCATCACCGGATGCAACATGAGCGGCAAGACTACCTATATCAAAAGCATTGCCTTGCTCCAGATCATGGCGCAGATTGGATGCTTTGTGCCGGCCGAGCGTGCTACACTCCCCATCGTTCACAGCATCTTCGCGAGAGTGTCTACAGACGACAACATCGAGGCCAATTTGTCATCCTTTTCGGAGGAGATGCGAGAAATGGCCTTTATACTCAAGTACGGCGCGATTCTTGCTCGGAATATGCCACTGCTAATGATGTGTAGCAATGTGGATGACAAAAGCATGGTCATCATCGACGAGCTTGGTCGAGCCACGAGTGCTCGTGATGGACTCGCAATCGCGATTGCTATGGCAGAAGCACTCATCCAAAGTCGAGCGAAGGTCTGGTTCACAACGCATTTTGCGCAACTCGGTGAGTAGTCCCAGGCGGTTGAGATGCGTTGATATTTATTGACATCCTAATAGCTGAAGTTTTGAACGACCGTCCCGGAGTCCTCAACCTCCATCTCGCAAGTCATCTTTCGAATACGTCCAGGGGCGATCCCAGGTTAACCATGACCTACAAAGTCGAGTCCGGCAAGGTAGAAGAGATACCATATGGCATTCTACTTGCAAAGGCAATGGATTTCCCTAAGCGATTTCTCGATGTGGCGGAGCATGTCTCTCAGTCCATCCGCGAAGATAGATTGAAGAAACAACAAACCTCGGAGGCGCGGCGGCTGGTCAGAGAGCGCAAGTTGGTACTCAGTCTACATGAGCAGTTGAAGCAAGCGCGCAATTCCCAGATGGATGATGCTGCCCTCGCGAGCTACCTGAAGCGCCTCCAGGTGGAGTTTGTGGAGCGCTTCGAAGCCCTCCGTGTTGCAGGGAGTCCGGACGAGGATTCCGAAGAGGTCCTTGACGAAGAAGAAAACGAAACGTTTGAAGATGATGATATATTTGACTCAGTCGATGTCGAGTCTTTGTCGACACGCAGTCCAGCTGGGACGACATAGCGTTTGTGTTCGATTTGTGGACTTGCGACGAGGAGAATCATCGACGTAAGGAAGAGAAAAGGAGCTAGATTGCAAAGATCAAGTCAATTCGGTCAACATTCCATAGCAAAAGTTGCTGGGGACATGCTCAAAGCTTGTCTCCGTATTATATTTGCAGTTTGCATGGGCGTGTAAACCAACATAGCATCATCTTTTATTGACGATGTGGATCAAAAGTTATGTTCTTTAGCCTCGTCATTACAACGGCTGATTCAAAGGGCCTGGTAAATGAAAAGGATGCCCAACATGGATCATATCTGTCGCTTCTGATGCCTCCATGTCACCAAACCTAAATATCAACGCTCTGTAGTAACACCATTTCGGCGTAAGTCAACGTACCCACTTCCGAAACACCCCCCCATGCGAAACACCAAAAAATAATGCTATCGCAACAACACCACCAATTTCAATTAACTATCAACGAGGTAAAGTTGCAACCACTATGCAGCTTTCGGCCTCACTAGG